CCAGTAATATTTGGGGTCACAAGTTTTTGCCATGAATATTTTGTGGGTCAGAAGACAAAAAGTTTGGGAACCACTGGGCTAGAGCCTTTACTGTATTTGATAGATTAAAATTTTCCTTAGAATAATTGTGAAGATGTTCTTTGTCACAGTATCTCATCAATCACACTGTGTCAAAGCTCCACCCATTTGGTATTTTTCCCACACTGTGTTGTTCAAAAAATGCTTTTTCAAAAAAAAAAAATAACACTCTTACTTAAATGTGTCATCTAACTRCAGATGATTCACTGGTTAAACATGTTTGGTGCTATTTTAAACATCGCAGCATGGTTGTGTTTTATCCCAAAAGAAAGTAGTGCTGTGAGAAAGTCGTGTACATGTATGTCAGTCTGGTGGGCACCCTTCACTTTAGTCTGAAAGAACTACCTGATAGTTGTGCTCTGGAGTGCAATGTKAAAAGATTCAGTTTTCAGGTTTTTATGAGCATCTGTGTTCATGTGGGTTCAAAGGGCAGATAAAATGTGTGTGTTGGAGAAGTGCTGGGTAGAATCGGAGGGAAAAAAAATAAAAACGGAGCCCTTTGGTTCAGTCTGGCTTGCAAACATCTGAAAGATAAACTTGTTTCAGTTGTTGGGCTTTTTATGCTCCGCTCAGCTTTTTTCCTGTTCATCTCTGTCTTCATCAGTCTATGCAAGCCATAGTTTCTGTAATCCTTTCTCTTTAGACTATGGCACGCTTTCCTGCTAAACACAACCGCTGTGCCACTAACTTYYTGATTTTATTTCATTTATTTTGTGTTCTTTGTTGCGACCTCGTGATGCGTGATTTCATGCGATGTTCTTTTGATGCATGTCAGAAGAGTACAAACAATTTTATGTACAAGAGCACATGACACAAACATACTGACCTGACAGAGGACTGCTAAACAAACAAACTTAGGCTCCAGTTCTGTGTTCCTATTTCTCAATCATTGTGCTTATCAGATTTTATGTTCTATCAACCCAAACAACATTTAAAAATCAAATGGTTATGATCAGGGGATAAAACTTTATTCTGATTTATATTTCAGTAAAGATCATCATGGATTAACTTCAAGTTGATTCATTTCAATGT